GATACTTTGGAAGGCTCCCTATCATCATACTAAAGCTACTTAATCCTATAGGGTCACCAGGGAGTCCAATCAATGGGCTTGAATAGAGCTTTATATAATGCCTGACTTCAGGAGTTGCTCTTGGTGCTATCTGTGCACCAAGAGTTTCTGGACTTAGAGTTCAGTTGTGGCCCCTGATTAAATATTGTCATAATGCTCACGTGGGTTGTGTATCACCTAATAATACATCAATCCTGAGCCTTTCATGTTAATCCCTTTCTCTTATGGATGCCAGGCAAAACTTTTTTTTTTTTAATAAGAACATTCTAGCCAGGTGCAGTGACTCACGCTTCTAATCTCAGCACTTTGGGAGGCCTAGGCAGGCAGATCACCTGAGGTCGGGAGTTCAAGAACAGGCTGACCAACATGGAGAATCCCCATCTCTGCTGAAAATGCAAATTTAGCTAGGTGTGGTGGAGCATGGCTATAATCCCAGCTACTCAGGAAGTTGAGGCAGGAGAATCACTTGAACCTGGGAGTCAGAGTTTGCAGTGAGCCAAGATCAAGCCATTGCACTCCAGCCTGGGCAACAAGAGCAAGACTCCATCTCAAAAAAAAAAGAAAAAGAAAGAAAGAAAAAAAAGAAGGAAAGAAAGAAAGAAAGAAAGAAAGAAAGAGAGAGAGAGGGGGGGAGGGGGGGGGGGGGGGGGGGAGGGAGGAAGGAAGGGAGGGAGGGAGGAAGGGAGAGAAAAAAGAAAAGAAAAGAAAATTATATTTTGCTGTTGCTGAAAATTCCTTGACTTCTCTGTGTTCCCAGTTAACTTGGGCAGCTAATTATTTTGTAATAGAGACTCAAGCCAACATCATATATGCTTTGTCTTTTAGTCAATGTTTCTCTGTCTTGGATATCATTGATCTGCCATGTACCGCCCCCTACCCTATAATTCAGAGCAAGTCTCCTCTCATGGAGATGCATGGAAATAACAGTGATAACAGAGCAGTTCCTATGTTTGTCTTTTCACAGGAAATTGTCTCCAGCCTATGAATCAAAAAGAACATTTTAACATGCTTTCTTCTCTCGCCCACCTTCTCACCTCTCGCCCACCCCTTCTGAAACAACGGCTGTCTTTCTATCTGGTCTTGTTAACCCTTGGCTGAGAAAGTAGATTTCTCTATGTGATTGATATCTTGAATGTAAATCTAGAGTTCTGCCATCACAGCCTGACAGGAGTAAATAAAAGGACAAATTGTAGGTGTGTTGGTTATCACAGCAGGGGTGCCTATCATGGCATCAGCTTTCTTGTCCACGAATGTGTGAACTGCCTGAAAGGCCAAGGTAATTGAAAGGCAAGCATAAACCTGTCTGTTTTCTCAGATATTAACAGAAATTGCCTCCTACTGTGATCACTTTTCTGGCTTAGTGTTCTGAGAAAGAAACAGGCCATTCTGTTTCTAACCCAATTATTGAGTGCACTTTAGTCCATCAAGGGAGAAAAATCTCAGTGGACTGGTGCGGCTACTCAGTTCTACCAATCCCATACTAAGAATGGCCCTCTTTCTCTTTCTCTCCTGTCTCTGTCTATCTCTCTCCTTCTCCTGCCTCCCCTTTTCTTTTTTCTTTTCTCTTCTCTGTCTACCCCCTCTACTTCAGAGAGAGAGATAGAGAAAGAAAGAGAAGCACTGGATATACCTGAACACTCACTTCATCTTGTGCCCAAAGTATGCAGTATCTTAGTTTATCTTCAAGTGCGTGATGATGACCACTTCCACTAGCTATTATGCTGGTCTCCAAATAATCCAAATGCCTGTGGTGGGTGAGTGTATGTATAAGAAATGTGAATAGGAACATAAAGAAAATATAGAAAAATGATAAACCATGGTGCCATAGTTTGACTGTGTCTCCCAAAGTTCATGTGTTGGAAATTTAACCTCCAATGCAACCGTGTTGGGAGGCAGGGCCTCATAAGAAGAGATTAGGACATGAGGGCTCTGCTCCTATGAATGGATTGTGTTGTTATAACAGGAGTGGGTTAGTTATCATGAGGGTGCTTTTGTTTTGATAAAAGCAAGTTCAGCCCCGGCTCCAACTTGCTCTTTCACTCTTGTGCTCCTGCCCTTCCACCTTCTGCCATAGGATGATGCAGCTTGAAGGCCCTGCCAGATGCCAGCACAATGCTCACCCAGCCTTCAGAACCAAGAGGCAAATAAACTTCTGCTCATTATAAATTACCCAGTTGGTGATAATCTAATAGCATAATACAGACTAAGAAGGGGTTCAAAAATATTAATACACATACCTTGACCAAAAGAAAAAGTGATTAATAATTGGCCACATAAGTGGACACATAATAAGCTGGGCACATAAATGGAAACATACTAGGGAATGTGTTTCAGAGAATGCTGTACAAACCAGCTGCTCAGGACTTGCAGCTCTGAACAGTTACACAACTGAATGGTTCACAAATTTCATGTGAAGCTGAGATTAGCCATGATCTGCCCAGCAAAGAGGGGAACCCTCAGTCAAATTAGCCAGTTACTTGGCTAGTTGCTAGGTAACCCAAAGTTCCGGGGGTCTGTTGTCAGATTTCCTGCTTGTCACTCCACCTCCCCAACATACCACCCCACCTGTATACCAAGAATCCTCCTTCTCTTTCAAGGTGATTACAGGGGGTCCTGTACTAGGAAGGAGGGTTACATTCAACAATTTGAATAGGGCCATTAAATCTCAGGGTATAGATAAGCAGCATGTCTGTCATCAATTAGGAAGTACATGAGATGTCAAAGGAAGGCACTTCTCAAAGTGATTAGGAAACATTCCCAGGCACCTTCTCTGCCCAGGTATCTTGTAGTATCCTCCTGAGTGGTAAGCAATGATCTGTGGGATGTGTCTTGACCTCCACGTAGCTCCCTGAAGCTAGTGATGGTTAATGCACCAGCCAATTTCCTTCTCTCTGTCTGTTTGTTCTGAGGCCCAAATGACTTTAATCTCAGCGATGCTTTCTGCTGTCTGCCTCCTCCAAGGCTATATCCCCTTCTAGCCCAGATGACCCTCACCTGATCTGAGGCACAGAGAAGGGCAGGCAGGTAGAATTCTCACACTCTTTATTCTTCTTCCATTTATTTATGTGGTATAAAATTGTTCCCTTAGCTTTCCTCAAAGCCTCTCTATAGGTATTCAAGAACTTATTTTGGAAGTTTCAAAACATTTTTTAAAACTTAATCTTAAAAATGACTTTCTCCTTGCTGACCTGCTGTGGCAATCCTAATTCTCCACAGGCAGTTGTGAATGTCTCTGTTGGACTAGAGGAAAGGTCAGCACAAGAAATGTTCAGAAAACAAAAGGAGGCAAAAAACACAGTATTTCAACACAATACCTCTTCCCAGCCACATGCACTGCTCCTCTCCTCCAACAATTCATTAATCCTTGACTTCTCCTTCAATAACTCTGCTGAATTCTCTTCTCAATCTCTTAGTTACATTCACTCATTTCTTTTTTCAGACCTCAATCTCTGATGATATTTGATAATGCTGACCATATCCTCTGCATTACTTAGGGAGGGGGCATGATGACACACAAGCAGTAGGAATCTCACTCCATACTAGCTTAAGCTAAGAGGAGAAATTTTGGAAGGATACTGAGGTATTTCCTCCAAATAAATTACTTGTTCAGCCTTTTGTCTCAGGGTCTGCATTTTCAAATGTGTCCTCCCATCCAGGGTAGAAATGAACTGTTATAACCTCTAACAAATGCAGTTGCAATATCTGAATGTCATTGTTTTTAACCAATTGAAACCTGCCTCCTTGTAGCTTCAACATATTATATCTGCATCTTCCCTTAAGGCACACTTTGATATAAGAAGCTAGATCTGGATTAGACTTCAGGCAAGAACATGTTAACCATTCATCATGAAAACCTTCTCTAAAATGAAACAATACAGATGAAACAATTTTGAGGAATAGTATCTTTAATGAGTTTTCTAATCCTTGTCATCTGAGGTACAGAAATATATTTACAGGGTCAGAGCAATACAGAGAGAGTGTTTGTATAATAAAGCATATTTTAAATTTCATTTAAGCCCTCTCATTTTTCCTCCCACAACTGCTTTATTTTTTGTTTTGATGAAAGAGAAATAAGAAATAAATAGAAGATCAATGCTTCAAACTAATCTACCCGTGTACTCCCTGAAAACTTTAGGACTGAAGTATTACTTATACTGAAGTATATTACTTATACTGAAGTGTAAGTAATCCACATTAGGGAAAACTCTTCTCAAATGCACAATCACACATACCTCAGGCAGGAACTGATGGTCTTTCAAAAGAAGAGGGGCGAACTTCCGGTCCTGTGTTTGACACATACTAGAGAAAACCCCTAAAGAGAACACTGAATTGTATGTTCTCAGACAAGACGCCCCTGTGACCACAGCATAACGAATTCTGCTCTGACATTTTAGTGGTTCAATCTCCTGACATGAACAAATATTCCAGTCAGGTGTGGTAGTTCACTCCTGTAATCAAAGCACTTTGGGAGGTCAAGGCAGGCAGATACCCGAGGTCAGGAGTTGGAGACCAGATTGGCCAACATAGTGAAACCCCATCTCTACTAAAAATGCAAAAATTAGCCAGGTGTGGTGGTGGGTGCCTATAATCCCAGCTACTCAAGAGGCTGAGGCATAAGAATCACTTGAACCTGCGAGGTGAAGGTTGCAGTGAGATGAGATCGCACCACTGCACTCCAGCCTGAGCAACAGAGTGAAACTCTGTCAAGAAAAAAAAAGGGATTCCTTTCTGTAGTAATTGACTCAATAGGGTGAAGTGTGAGATTACTACTCAGGACAGAAATAATTTATATCTTGTCTTTTTTGTTCAACGTCCTCTTTGTATTTGGTTTCATTGAGGAAAACCAACCTCTTTAACCAGGAGATTACGTTCTTTCTCTTTTCCTAATCATTATGCAGAGTGTGTTCTGACCCTGGGCTGTGTCAATCATACTTAATAAAATGAGAGGCCTAAATGGAACCTTCAAGTTTCTCTAGCACAATCCTCTAATTTTACAGATTTTAAAAAACCAAGGCCTGGAGAAGGTAACATGTTTTTCAAGAACACGCAGCCAGCCTGTGCAAAGGCTCATGAATAGTCTTCATCCTGACTGACACTTTTTAAAAAGGAGACAAAAGATTAACTCGGTTCAGATTTGGGAGAACAAAGTGTTGTCTTCATGCAGAGGGCTGGGATTTGCGGAGGAAAGTAAACTCTGGAGAAAAAGGAAAAGCTGTCCAGTGGCCAGGTGTGCAGATGTTTTCACTCAGCCCCAGCTGCCTGCTGGGGGCCTCAGGAGCCTACTGGGTTTCCACAGCACAAGGCTTTATGCTGATGATGGAGATGCTCCGCCCTGTGCACCTCAGAGCGCCCACCTCACACTCAGACATCGTCTGCTCCTTGCCGTTCACTTCCACACAAATGCTAAACCCGTCTTCTTCGCACTCCGATGCTTCTCGGCAGACACATTTGCTGCTCTCAGCTGAAAAAGTAAGTGAAAGAGGCTTAACGGTACATTGTGGAGGTGGGGGAGTCAAAGCACATCACCTCCAAAGTAATAATGTGGTGATTAGAGCTACAGAAGCTCCTGTCTGGAATGATATAATAAACTATCCCCTGGAAAAGTGGTAGGACCAGGAAATTGGGGCATTTTGCTCCACTCCAAAGAAATAGGTTTTCAGGTTGGTGCCAGCTCTCTATTAGTTTGACCCACACGGGGTGGTTCTATCCAAGTCAAGAGCTCGTCAACTTTCTCCCACCTAGAAGCTGCTGTCCCTATGAGCCAGCAATTGAGATCAAATGAGAAACCCTCAACAAAGAACCAAGTCAAGACTCAAACACAGAGAGAGAAAAAAAGAGAACTTAAACTTGATTTGAGAGAGACAGCATGACATACAAAAGACTACAAATCCAAAAAAACAAATCAGAAATGAGTTAGGGAGGCAAGGAGTCTGTGCACTGGAAGTATATGGTTGGATTACACCAGCCAGGAGTCTCCCAAAGAAAAGTAACAAGGTCACCCAGCAGACGGTGGTGACCGCCAAACCAAAAGGGACTCAGACACAGCTAGAGTTACATATGTCATCAGTCTGCTGCAAACTGTGAGGGGGTGAGGGGAAAGGTGCCAGCGGGTACAGGCCAAGAGGGCAGAGAGTGAGGAGCCAACAGAGACCTTACAAGTCATATAGTCCAGCTCCCAAATTTACAGATAAGGAAGCCCAGGCAGTGACCTGGCTCCGGAGACTCAGCCATTCCCCTTTCATAGTATTGCCCAAATCCTGGCAGGCTTACTGTGCCCTTGAGGTGTTCAAGATCATTGTAACTGCTACCTGAAGATAGCATTAGCAAATATTGAATCACAACATGAGAAAGTAACTTAATTTCCTATTCTCTTCAAATCCATCTGATTACTTCTAGAAGGAAGTGTCAGCTTAGTGCTAGTATGTTTTTAACACCCCTCTAACACATGCTAAACTCACAGAGAAACAGCATAGTCAATGTTGGACCAGTATCTGGCTAGAGTCCACAACTTTGCATTACATCTAATGTTTATAGTTACCTAACACTCATGGCAAGTAATAAATCCTTTTAAGGACGTGATATAAAGTTTTCATTTTAAAGTTACTTTTATGTCAGACTTTTAAAAATACACAATACGGATAATACAAGGACAGATCAAAAATCATGAAGGTGGAATGGAATCACCCATGTTTGGGAGAACATTCTCATCAGGAATGGATTCTTATACTCTGAGGTCTGTGATCTGCCCCCTTCTCCAGGAAGGGGTATAGGAGAGGTCAGTGCACTGTCAAATCAGTCTGAGTTTTTAACATCCTCAAGTATCTGCTTCGGCCCACTGCTAAACTAGAAACCACATTTTAAAAAACCTCAGTACTGTGACTTCAGCATTCTTATACTTGCAAATATGAAAGGCCCCTTACCATCACATTTTCCCCACAGTGGGCAGGCACCACAAGCTTTCTCAGCTGAGGCAGGTAGAGTGCAGCTGTCCCTACCAGTAAGAGTGTAGTTTCTACCCTGACAGTGGAGAACATGCATCTTGCAAACTGTCAGAGGCAGTATCCTTTTGCTTCTCTCATCTCGAGCACATACATCCAAGGAAGATCTGAAAAGAATTTTTAATAACATCATTTACAAGATTTTGGTTCTTAAAAGCTGAGAAGTAGAAATGAAAAGTGATACTCTGAGCTTAGTGCCCCCAGATGTTATCACCCAAAGCAAAGATAAAAAAGGATGAAAACTCAAATCCCCTTCATTCCTAGAGTCCAATCCACTTAGGTCTTCAAAATGATCATATTTGTATTTATTCTCTTCATTTGCTCACAATTTTTGCAAGTGTAGATATCTAGTGTTGATAGATGAGAAGGCAAGGTCTGCTAGCAACAGCTGGCAAAGAAGGAGACAGAAAACCAGCGGAAACCAAGCATTCAATATAATCATAGTCAAATGGGACCATTAATTGCAGGAGCAATGAACTCATCCCAGCCCGGCAGCCAAGAGTTCACGTCCATAAAACAGCATCATCCAAAAATGGATGACCCTAAATCATCAAGGGAAGATAAACATGTATTTTTCAATGCTACTTTTAAAAGTACCTATGTTTACAAAACAGTTTAGAAATAAGGCTGGGCGCTTATAATCCCAGTGCTTTGGGAGGCTGAGGCAGGCGGATCACTTGAGGGCAGGAGTTCAAGACCAGCATGGCCAACATGGTGAAACCCCTTCTCTACTAAACATATAAAAACTAGCTGGGCATGGTGGCACACACCTGTAATCCCAGTTACTAGGGAGGCTGAGGCAGGAGAATCACTTGAACTCGGGAGGCAGAGGTTGCAGTGAGCTGAGATTGCACCACTGCACTCCAAACTGGGTGACCGAATGAAATTGTGTCTCAAAAAATAAATAAATATTTTTGTAAACTGTGTTACCTTTTTCATAAGCATTGGTGTTAAATAATGGAAAAAAATAGCTATTTAGAAATGTCACTATCAAAAAATTCCACATTTCTGAATGCTGACAGACAAGGTACGCATTATCATCACTGAAACCTTAGACAACAGAACATTTTTGTATACCAGATGGAATCAGAAAGAATCTATATTCACACACTTTATTTAGTTCTAATATTTTCCTCTTCTATTAAAAGCTAAATTTAATTGGAGTTATTTATAAAGCAGAAACAAATCCTGTTGTTTTGAATCTATCTTTTCATCTGTTTGTTTAAATAGAACTTCCAACAGCTGAAAGGGCAAAGACCTTACAATACCACCTGTTGTCAGTATCTGAGACCATGGAATGACATGGAAATTCATACCATAACTACTAACCACGGGCTGCAGATAAACTAAATGAAATGGGGAAGTTGGAAAGAGGAGAAAAGTGACTCAAAATAAACAATGATTATTACAGGTTAGCAGTAAAGTCAGAATATTAGAATCAGAATATATCTACACTGACCACCATTTCCATCATGCCATTTAGGTATATTCTTCTTCACACCAGAAATTACTATATACAATAACTATTAACTACTGTAGGTTCAAGAAGTTAGATATGGGTTTTGATAAGCAAAATCATTAAAAACCAAGTAATTCGTGTTTTGGGTGTTTTTTTTATTTTTCATTTTTGAGATAGGGTCTGGCTCTGTTACCCAGGCTGGAGTACAGTGGCATGACTTTGGCTCACTGAAGCCTCAACCTCCCCAGCCTCAAGCGATCCTCCCACCTCAGTCTCCGGCATAGCTGGGACTACAGGAGCGTGCCACCACACTCAGCTAATTTTTTTATTTTTTTGTAGAGAACGGGTTTCACCATGTTGCCCAAGCTGGCCTTGAACTCCTGAGCTGAAGCAATTGGCCCACCTTGGCCTCCCAAAGTGCTGGGATTACAGACATGAGCCACCACACCAGGTCATCTTTCGGTTCTTAATTTTAAAAATGACCAGTAAGTCTGGGGGCTAGATAATATCTCATTTCCTCCCCAGATCCACGTTCTACTCTTCTCCACCTGCCTGGTAGGCTGACATGTATGGGCCACATCATGGGCTTCCTCAGCTTCTAGCTTCAGTAGGTTTGATCAATGGGGAGCACTGGCAGGACGCTCGAGGCAGGAAAGAGAGTACAGTTGACATGTTTATTCCCCTAGCTCACGCCTGTGCAATCTCTGAGGTCCCTAAAATGAGAGTGTCAGATCCTCCTCAGGGCCATCTCCACACAATTCTCTTGGTCTCCAGTTTTTCCTGGATGCCCCTCTCCTTACTCCTTGGACCTGGCTATGGATTTACGGTTGAGCTGTTACCATGGGAATACTGCCATGGAACTTGTAGTTTCCTTTACTCTGTTCACATTTTTGTAAGTATTCCTGCTAGTAAAACTTTTCTTGTCCTAATTTAATTGTGCCATCTCTATCCTACTAGGACCATAACAGACATCTAGTAACTACTTCAGATATCCTCCTACAATGAATGGAGTGATTTCAAGTTGGTGGCACTCTTAACAATGCAAATCTAGAGAAGACGCTTCAAGAATCAACAAAAGTGGCTGCTCTTTCCCTATCAGAATTGCTTTAAAAGTTATGTCCCAAAGGAATTTCAGCTCTAATCCTCTAAAGTTGCAAATCCTCAGCTGACGGTTTGTCATTTCGCTCCATTTTATATATAAGACAAGCAGTGCTCAAGTAGTCCTTCAGCCTTCTCCACTAGCCAGATTAGAACACTGCTTAATGCCATGGCTGTCGGCACTAGCGACCCAGGGAAAGAGCTGATGGACTAGGTCAAAAGGCAAACAAAGATCCTTAACGCTTGGTAAGCTACACTTTCCATCCAACAGAGACTAGCATCTAAGAAATCATCGCTTATCATGAATAAAATAAAATGGAGAAGTGAGCAAAGACAGCACTTACCCACATTCGTAGGGCATTTTACAAACACATCTTGAATTCTGCAGTTTCTCCCAGCGCTGACATTTAGGCACTGCCTGTGTTAAAGGAGTGTCTAAAAAAGGACAGGGAGATGGGATCATTAGGACAAAAGCTTCTTCATAGTCAACAAGGTATTATTTAAATTGCTGAACCAGGATTTGTAGTATTCTCAGCTGCAGTGAGCTTGCATGGGAAAAACAGTAGTAATAATCAAGGTGTAACACATTTTATAAACTATACAGAGTTTCTAGGGCCACATGACAAATAATTGCATTGGCAGCAATAGCTACTATCTTGTGAGCATTTACAATTGTCATGCACTGTTTATACATAGGGATATTTATGCCCCCTAACAAATGCCCACCTAAGAAATCAGAAAATTAAGAGTGAAAAAAGTTAGGAAGTTGGTGCTACTTCACAAATTTTACAAATTGTCCAGGTAGGATGTAAGTCTACATTGGCATATACTTTTGCACCATAAAACTAGATAGTCATTTTCTATATATGGTGAAACCCAATCTCTACTAAAAATGCAAAAATTAGCCGGGCATGGTGGCACACACCTGTAATCCCAGCTACTCAGGAGGCTGAGGCGGAAGAATTGCTTGAACCCAGCAGACAGAGGTTGCAGTGAACTGAGATTGGGCCACTGTACTCCAGCCTGGGTAACAAAGTGAGACATTGTCTCAAAAAACAAACAAAAACAAAAACCAACAACAACCAAAGAAAACCACTTCTCTTTAAAATGGTGTTATCCTAAATGCATCACCTATACCCTGACCTGGATCCTAGAACATAAAAGAGACATTAGTGGTAAAACAGGAGATATTTGACTAATGTGTGTAGTTTAGTTAATAGCATTGTGCTAATATTAATTTTTTAGTTTTAACCATGTTGTGTTATGTAAGATGTTAATATTAAGGAAGATGGGTGAAGGGCGTATAGAAATTATATCTGGACTTTACTGAAATCTAAACTTATTCCAAAATGAAATTTTTAAAAAATGGTGTTATCTACATCAGTTCTTCTTAACCATGGGCAGTTTTGTCCCCCAGGGGACATCTGGAAATCACTGGAGACATCTTTGGTTTTTACTGCTGCAGAGTGTTACTGGCATAGGAGGATGCTACTGGGAGGTAGAGACCGGGAATGCTGCTAAACACCCTGGAATGCATAGACCAGGCATCCATAGCAAAGAATTACCAGGCCTAAAATTCCAATAACGTTGAGGTTGAGAAGGCTTAATCTAGGTGTACCAAAACTTAAGTTCGATGATCAAGCTACGTAAATTAGTTCTGTACTGTGGTTAAAAATTTACTTTATCACGAGGCCAAGAGATCGAGACCATCCTGGTCAACATGGTGAAACCCCGCCTCTACTAAAAATACAAAAAATTAGCTGGGCATGGTGGTGCATGCCTGTAATCCCAGCGACTCAGGAGGCTGGGGCAGGAGAATTGCCTGAACCCGGGAGGCGGAGGTTGCGGTGAGCTGAGATCGCGCCATT